TTTGGAAACCTAGGCTCCTAGAGTGGGGATTCCAAGGCTGTCTCAGTTCTCCCTGAGGAACTCTTTAATTTGTGCAGGTGACTGATAGTGCGGTAGGGAGGCCGATGCTATTGGAAGAAACACGTATTACATTGTCCAAGAGCAGTGGATCCACCATACCATATAGGGCCAGGTGGGGAAGCACAAGTTTTGTCAGAAGACAGAAAGGTTTGAGGAGAAACCTGGGCCACAGTTTGTATTGTGTTTTCCAGGGGAAGGGTTGGGCGGGCAGAGGAACAACTCAGGTCTGTCAAGTTTGCATAATACCAGAGGCCTCTGAGCTACGGGGTGGTCTCTAGCTGCCTGGTACCCAGCCTGGTGTGAGCAGGGAAAGTATTAGCTGGTGCCTGACACTTATGGAGGTGGTTGGGAGTCTGCACTTGTGATCAGTTGAAGGATTAGTAATGTGATTTCTGTGCACCTGCAAAAGCTAGATTACAAGGGAGATATACAATTCCGGCTGTTAGTTTGGCTTTGTCAATAATGGATCCCTAGTAGACAAATACAGAATCAAAGAGAACACAGTTATAAAGTAAGTCCAAATGATTAGAGTCTCAAGGCAGATCAATCTTATCACATGAAAATACAATTTAGATACTATGCCGTGCACCAAGGAGCACAAGGGAAATGAATCTGTCATATAGCAATTCCAGGTTTTAATAACAGTAAATAATTTAGTCTTCCCTAAAGAGAGTCCTGACTTTGTCCTCAGCTTCTGAAGTTAACCCATGTCATACCTGCTAGGAGCATCTCTGTTTAGGGCAGGGAATGATCCACTGGGCTTTAGTGTGTAGTCAGAGCATGCCAGAAAACCCAGCTCTCTGATTTAGGGTGCGGCCTTGGATTGATTGAGAGTTGCTCTGCAGAATGAGATCAACCACTTGGGCGATTAATCAGTCAAGCATGTACATATTGAAACCCAGAGAAAAACTCTGAGCACTGAAGCAAAGTGGAAAGAGCTCTCTCAGTTGACAGTATGACAGGTGGACTGTCGTGTTTGGAAGCCAGGAGGGTCTGTGTCCTGACTCCTCAGAAGAAGACAGCAGAAGCTTTCAGGATAGGAACCCTCCCAGACCAGCCTGGCTCTTTTTATGATCTAAATCTGCATCCCTTCCCCGAAGTAAAACAAAACCATGAGCATAACAGCTTTCGATGAGCTCTATGTTCTTCTTGTGAATTGCCCAACATGAAGGTTTTGGGAATTTCCTCCTCTTACCTCCCAAACATGGTTGGTGTCAGAAATGAAGGTAGGCTTGGGAACTGTGACCTCAACCATAGCAGTTTGGCTAAATCTGGGCACATTTTTTTTAAAAAAATCAAAAAGTTTTTTTAAAAAGTTTTAAGTAACAAATGGAAGGTTATCCTCCTGCCTTTGTGGTTTTGTCCAGAAGATCTCCCTTTTAACTGCTTCTTTCTGGTTTATCTTACCCAATATTTTCTCCATAAATGTGAGCATACTGGGAACTGAGCATAGTGGTGCACACCTGTAATCCCAGCTCTCTGGAAGCTGAGTCAGGAGGATCACCACAAGTTCAAGGCCAGCCTGGGCTACGTAGTGAGTTCAAAACCAGCCTGAATTATATAGTGAGACCCTGTCCCCAGAACAAAACAACAACGAAAAAAAACCCAAGCATATTAAATGCACATATTATAATGGAAAAATATTTTTTAATTGTAAATGAGATTGTGCTCCACAGCCTGCCTTGAAACTTCCTTCTGCCACTTATTTCAGGAGTATTCTTTGTGTGAGCCCCACTTTTTTTTTTCTCCTCTTTTTAAGCATTGGCCAAGTTTATTTGAGAAAGTAAAAGTAAAAAGTGAAGGACAAACTGGCTCAGCAGAGTGAGCTTGGGCTGAGGAAAAGAAGAAAAAAAAACAATAAAAGGACACCTTGGAGAAAGGAGGTAGGGCTACTGTGAAGGAAGTCATGGTAGCATGCTCTTCTTGGGGTCTGTCCAAATCTGGAGGAAACCCGCAAGAACGTCTACATCCGGGTGCTGGGAGGCAGTGCTGGGATCCCATACCTCGGGCTGGGATCAGGTCTAGCCCAGCCTCTTCAAAGCCTCCTCGAGTTCTTGCCAGAAGTCCACATGCAGGGCCTTGGGAACTGTTCTGCCTTTGTGTTCCAGGATATTGTAATTAGCAGGTCATACCTACTTCCCCAGCTGTGAACTTCTGGTGGCTGAAGCAGTACTTGTTTGTATGACTGTCCTATCGAAAGACAAGAACCAAGTCTGAGGACTCTTGTGAGAGCTCACCATTTTGTTTATACAGACCTCTTAAAACAGTGGTAGCACCAAAAAAGCAAGCACTACATGTGTCTGCTATCATTTATTTGTTTGTTTAAAGCCTCTTTTGTATGCATTGAGTTTTCTAATTTTGTCTATTACTTCCAACAAGTCTGCAATAAATATCCTTGATCTTATCCTCCTACGTTCACATCTGGGATAAATCCCTAAGAATGAACTTGCTGGGTCAGAGCGTGTGTATGTGCATTTAACATCTTGTTAGTGTTGACAGATTGTCTAAGATCGTTGTGCCTGTTTACATTTTTGCCCCAGCCCATGTTATTTCTGATTCCCCTTACTCACAACTGTTGAGTGTTCTCAAACTGTTTAGTCCTTACCAGTCAGACACATTTTTTAAAATTCAATCTCTTTGCAGTTTAGTATGCATTTCCATCATTGATAGTGAGACTGACTACCTTTTCTTCTTGTGTATGCATACATTATTTTACGGTACTTTTCCATCAAGTTGTTCATTCATGCACTTTAATCTTCTATTTGATTTAAACAAACTTTCCCCTACCGTTGGAATCTGCTATCTTGTGTGAAAATCAGGCAAAATGAAAATGCCAGTATGCTTTTCCATACCATTGACTTCTGTGATATTAAACTTCCTTAAAAAAGCAAAATGCAGAACACTACTAATTTTCTCTTGTTGGTTGAAGGGCTTTTCTTTGTTTATCTCTGTCAACTAAACAGAAACTATATCCCCTTTATGTCACCTTACAGACATTTCTCTTGCATGGAAACCAACCCATCAGGAACCAAATGTCTTTATTCTTTGATTTAAATCTACCTAATAATGAGGCCAGGTGTGATGGTGCACACCTGTAAGCCCAGCACTCCAGAGGCTGAGGCAGGATGATCCCCTGTGAGTTCAAGGGCAGCCTTGGCGGCATTAGTGAGACTTTGTCTCAAAAAAACCAAAAACCAAAAAACCCTACCTAATAAATAAATAAACAAATACCTGTTTGTTCCGGACCCACCATAAATGGTAATAGATTACAGACTGGGAAATCACATTTGGATGTTAGTATATTTTTTCCACTTTTATAAGGCTAAATTACCTTACTAAAAACAAGTTGACACATCCATTGTTCTAAAAATATAGCCTTGATTTTCAAGTGACTTTCACAAATTGCAAAGAATATTTGCATAAACTCCTCAAGAATTTGGTTTCTCCAAACCAGGAAAACCAAGATATGATCCTGTTTTGTTTTTTCCTAGACTTCCTTTACTTCCGAAATTAACCTTTTGAAAACATCCTAAATGAGAAGCCTTGTTTTTCAACTGTACAATCATCTCCCTCTTCCACACCCCATTTCTCAGAACCTGTAATAATCAGTATATAATTACATACGTACTTATTTATTTCAAGTGGATTTCTATATTCATCTTTTCTCTCCTAAAATATTTTTATTTTTCTCTTTTTGACAGTCCTGGGGATTGAATCCAGGCCTCAAGTATGCCAACTGAAGCCCCTCGCATGCCAACCAAGGCCTCTACCACTGAGCTATATCCCCAGCCCTCCCTTGCTAAGTTATAGGCTCCTATAGATTAGGTTCTGTACTAGTTATATTGCGTGACATAATAAGTAACCCCCAGATTTAGCATTTTAAAGCAATAAGACTTATTATCTAGCACAGTTTGTTGAGATAGAAGTTTAAGCTCAGCTGTGCTACAGCCTCCAAAGGACTTGATGGGTGCTGAAGATGGCGCATTGAGGCTACTGAATCCCTCACCGTGTGATGTCCTTCAGGACTCTTTCAGTGCCTTGGGTCTCCTGACACCACGTCCAGCTTCCCTCAGATTAAGCAGCAAGAAAAGAGCAAGGCAAAAAGCCATAATGCCTCTTATGGATACTTTCAAGATATCTCACTGTGTACATGGATCTGCTCTCCCCTGGGGCACGACTGGGAGCCATTTTAAAGACACCCTGCCCTGCTGGGAATCAAACGCAGGGCCTCCTGCGTGCTAGGCACACGGACTGCGGCCAAGCCACCACCCAGCCCTCATCTTCATTCCTCATGGTATCCCTTATAGATCGTGGATCTTAATAGGTGCAGTCCCTTGGAAGAACAGAGTTCCCAGTTTACCAGGGAGGATCTCCGATGCAGAGGTTCACTGAGGGGAGTGCTGTTGAGGTCGAAGGAACCAGGGTGGAGATCAGAGAACGGGAGAGCCTCCGCCAGACCGCAGGGGAGCTCTACAGATTCACAACAAATGGGGGGTTTCAATCCCCCCATTAGCTACTAATCATTATCTACGCACAGTTGATCCACTGATCCCTCTCTCTAAGGTCCACAATGTAGCATTTTCTCCTACACAAATGTCTGAGAAGTCCTACAATAAGGAAATCTGCCTAGCTTGATGAAATACACATTTCCTGAACAAATGCCATCAGTATACATCGAAGTCCACAGATTCGGCGTACACAAAAATTACAGTTCTGATTCTCAAGCCCTTTCTTCCAGATCGATGAGGAAAAATACCCTACGCCCCTCCGGGGCGGTGCCAGTTTGCTAGGACACCTCGCAGGCTGCGTGCACCTCCAGG